AGGAAGAAGCCTCCTGTGAGCAGGGTGCACAGCAAGGCACCTGCAGCCAGAGCCCCGAGCCCAGTGCCAGCACCCTGCTGGCCAGCAAGGAGCCTCAGTCCCAGCTGGAGTCCTTCAGGCTCGTGGCCCCAGAGGAGGCCTCCACCAGGAGCTCGGCCCTGCAGGAGACCGACGACAGCGATGACGACCCCGTCCTCATCCCGGGGGCCAGGTATCGAGGAGGCCCTGGGCACAGGTGAGGCCATACCTGTCTCTGCTTGGCAAAATGCTTCTTGCCTTTTTTTTCCCTTTTCTCTTTTCTTGTTTATTTCTTTGAATTAAAAATCAAGAAACTCATATCCTTAAAGCTGTTCTTTGAGCTTGATGGCTGAGTCTAATTTGCCAATGTGTAAGATAGGTACAGCTGCATTTCCCTGCAAGCCAGGAAGGCTCTTGCAGATCTAATGCCTGTTTATCCTGATCTCTTGCCTGCTGAATACCTTGGTGCTAAATATTTGCAGTTTATTTTTTATTATTCTCCCTCTAGTCATAAGTATAGAAAGTTCATAAATTTGGGTAAAGGGACCTACATTTTCTTTCAGCTGTACCTTAGGTGCTCTTATTCTGGTAGAGTAAGAGCTTTTAACTGCTCTTGTGCAGCAATGGTGTGTTTGTAGTACATATATTAAAACTGGTATGTTCCATTTTTCATTCTTCTTTTTCTCTGAAAGAGAAACTGTAATCCTTTTACTTTTGTTTGTTATTAAATATTACTATGTATGTCAGTAAAAAAAGGTAGGATGCTAGCTGTTACCATGAATAAAAGATGCATTTAGTAAGCTTTGTGCTTTTTTTATATGAAGAGCTGTACGTACTTCTTTGATCATTCAGTAAACTGAACCCTCAATTTGCTATTGTTGGTTTAATACCTTTATTCAATAATTTCAAAACCATTAAATTATTTAAGCAACATTTCTGTTGTTAGACTTCATATAATACCTTTTTTACTAGCTTTAGATGTAATTTAACTTCATGTCACATACCTTTGCTTTATTCCTGTTCAAAGACAGTGCTATTAATTTCTTATGCTAGCAATGCAAATTCTTCGCAGGAATTTACAATATGTATTCATTAGGAAATCAAGAAGAATTTAATAGTTGTTTCTAGGGAAGGTTTTGAATAATTTGCAGTTAAAATAGAAATCGTAAGCCAGCACATTGTCAGTAGTGGCAAAAAGAGCAATCAGTGGTTGTTTATTAAAAAGCACAAGTAATTCTGCTCACTAAATGACAGTTTTTATGAAGAAGCCAATATACACAGATTCTGTCTTAACCCATTAACTTGCCATGCAGTACTAAGTATTTGTAGGCATTTATGGAATGGCAGAAATATTTTCCCCTGGAGAGCCAATGTTCATTATGATCCAGTGATTGAAGAGCAAGCTGTGAAAAGCACTGCAATTTTAATCCCATCTCCATTTTCAAGCAGGATTCATAGCTTCTCTTCATGCACCATGTTGTCTCTAGGATGTAATAGTTTCTGTAGCAATGTGATAAGAATTACGCTTCAGGTATCACACAGCTGTTACCATTTCCCACTAGTGGGGACATCCTAAGTGAAGTTACAGTTGATCTGACATGCTTTCTTTCCTCTCTGTGCAGTGGGATTTTTTCCTGTAACAGTTTAAATTTATCACCTAGGAAAGATCATTCAGCTAAATGAATGATACCATTAAAATTCTTTATGCAGTCCCCTGCTCCCTTATTCTCCCCCCAAATAAAATCTGAAAGTCGCTTGGTAGTCAGTGTTGGTTTAGGATTTCCTGCAGGCTTTCATTGCTCAGGTTTAATGCCTGACCAGATAAATTTTGTTTTGCTTTTGTGTGTGTGCAAGCAGTGAAGTTTTCCAGTTTAGCTGCTGAGCATTACATTCCCTCCTATTCTTCAGGTTTCAGGAGTTTGCAAATGCACGCTGAGATGCTAAGGAAATGTGAGACATTCTGTGTGTGCTCAAAGGAATTTGGATTTCCAGAAAGGAAGCAGACACTGATGGTTCTAAAAGCTATAGCTCCGAGCCCTCTTAGTATTTATATCTCGTATTAGAGTGAAAGGAACTGGAAGTTCTCTCTAGTAGTACCATGGCAGTTGTTATAGCCTAAAATCCCTTTCACAAACTGATCAAATTTATATAAAATCCCCTATGTCCCTTAACAAGTAGGAAGCTAACTGAAAGCATTGCTGCTACCTTGGGTATACATGAACTACAATTGATCACTTTGTTCTGTGTTAACATTCTGTTTTGATTGAAATAATTTTTCACACCCAGTGCTCATCATTGAATGATGTCCATCCTGTCCATTTTCAGGTTTTGCCTCCTTAAGACTGAGTGCCAAGTTTTTCTCACTCTTAGCAGTAAAAATTCATGGGTTTCCTGCCATCATGCTGGTTTCTGTCTGCTCTTCGTGTTTCACTTTTTTCTGAATGTGGTAGCCCAGCCCCCTGCACTGTTTGGGATTTGCTGGAGTAATTCTGTGGTTGTTACTCCTGGTCTGGAGAGGATTCTCTGAGCACAATGAGCTGGAGCTGTCCTTCTCCTCTCTTGCCTGTCGCTGCTGCAGTGGGGGCTCATGGTCAGACACAGGCCCTGCACCCTGCACTCTTCCCTACTTCGTCATTCCTAATAAATGAGTGTTCCCTTTCACCAGAAGGAAGCTTAGAGGTGTGTAACTCAATTTTATACTGCTGATTTTCTTTTTCTCAAGGCCCTACAGTGTCCTCTATTAATAAGTTCCCCGCCCTCAATGTGCTGCATGATTCCATTCCTACACCCTGCTCAAGGACCAGTAGCAATACATGGTACAAAACTGCCTGCAAGTCTGGGGCTTCACTCCTCCAGCCTGCTTTCTGTAGGCTTTTTTTCTCTTTCCTCACTCAGTAAATTGTGTTGCCTAACAATTCCTTTACTAAATCTCATTTTTTCGAGTTTATCTAATACTTCATTTTCCAAGATGTCGTCGTATAAGATAATTAATGGCATTAATATCTGAGTAATGAAATAGATTTTTTTTCTCTGTAAAATACTTAAGAGGACCTGCTTTGGTCTTTGGTTTTCTAGGTTTGGGTTGGTTGTGGGGTTTTTGTTTTTTTTTTTTCAGAAGAAGAGAGACTAGCCTGCAATAATCTACCTTTTGTGAACATATTTTATGTAATGAAGAAAAAACCTTCATTTTTCTATAGGACAAAAAATTCAAAAAAAGGCTGTTGTAGCCTTCTTAGACAGAATGCAATAATCTGTTTGACTAATAAGCCTTTTCCAATTACTGGCTTTGTCTACAATCAATTTCTTTTTCTTTAGGCTGTGTTTTCTTATAAACCAAATAGCTTCTGTTTACACTGAGCAGAATACAGGTGGAGAAATTTAGATAAAGGAATCTGTTTGAGTCATTTCCCCACTGTGAAGTACAGCTTTCTCCACTGAAGAAGAAGGGTAAATTTCTGATTCTGAACTCTGAAATCATGATCTGTAGCTTCCTCTTAAGGAAAAAAAAGTGGCAGAAATACCCTTCTGATACCTCTGTTAAACAGAGTTCTAAATAAATTGAGAACTTCCTCCTGCATCTCACCTTGTTTTTACTAAGATGGATGTAGATTCCAGATTTAAGAATAAATAGTGTTTATTTTGCAAATCTAATTGTACAAGGCTTCCATTATTTGAATATTATTTGGGTACAGATCCAAGTTGTAATGTTTTCAAGCTGAGGGTTTGATCTTTTTCTCAGATTATCTAAGAATAGATAAAAGGGACATAATTTCATATTGTGGATACTTATAAATCTCAAAACATAATTAGGATAGGTGGTTTCTCACCAACTAACCTAAAACTGACCTATCAGGAAGGACTGGACAAAGTCTGCACCTGCTTTAGTATTTTGAAAAGGACTTTAAATAGTACCAGCAAAATGTGGAGAAATACCACAGTCCTTTGGTTGATTGGGTAAATCAGCTGCATGTTGACTAGGAAGAGTTTTGACACAGAAGGACATTTCTTCAGAAGAAATAATTGAAGAAAAGCCCCTGACTTTTTTCAGCAGCATTTCTGTAGCCACTGAGTATCACTGTAGAATGGTCTTCACAAGTGACTAAAAGAAGCTAAGCAGTTAATTCATTTTTTCATGTTGTTGGGCCAGTCAATGCATACTCTTTTTAACAAAATGGACAAGGAAGTGCACAGGATATTTTAAAATGAAAAAAAAAAATTAAAATATATTCTGTACAGCAGAACAGTTTAGCTAGATACTCACCGGAATAAATAATCTCCTGTGCATTTTAGGGAATCCCCAGGAAAAGGTGCCTTCTCTGACAAATAAGACAGCATGTGCAGGTCTTTCAGTCTGGACATATGCAAGGACATTTCTTCTTTAAAACTTTTTGAGTCCAGCAAGTTTAGTTCAAACAGAGGATTGTACCTTGTAATCTGTGGGAGGTGAAAAAAAAAAAAATCTATGCAAAATGTTCTTCATACACACAGAGAGTGCAGTTTTTAATGGATTGATCTTAATTATCACAAATTAGTCAAAACAGCTCTCTGAGGGCTGATTTCCTACTTAAATGACTGAATTAATTTTGTTTGGACTTTGAAGTTGATCAGGGGGTGGAGGCTAAGCCTGGAAAAAGCTACAACTAGCTTTAGTAGGTAAAAATCTAAAGAAATAAGAATGTAAAATGGAAATGATGATACAGCTGCTGTGATCTATGAAGAATTACTGCAATTTATAACTTTACTTTGTGTACTGTTATATAATCTGAATACTATTTTTGCTGAAATGAAAGTAGTCTCATGTACTGACTCATACACTGGGAAGGAGTCTTCTCAGTTGGAATTCATAGAGCACATTTTGTAAGAGATGCTAACCTTTGAGAAACATGGTACCCAGCATTTGTGAATGACTTCAGTTGTTATTCCCTTTACTAGATATAATATCAGAGGAACAGCGATAGGTGATAGAATAATGAGGTAATTAATTATTTTATTCCTCCCCTCCTCCTTTTTATTGCCATATACTGGATTTATCAGGTTCTTGTTTTTCATATCTAACTGGCATTTTAAGAATTGCTGTACTTCAAATGCTATGAATTACAGAGCATATTGCTTGAGTTATATTTAGCTGCATGTGTTGCATGGAAATTGAAAAGAAATGGCAGTGTCTACATTTTACAACCTATTAACATTTTTATTGTGTGCCATAGAAATTAATGGAATTTGAGAAGTGTGTAGCTTGTGAAAAGAAATATTCCTTTTATTTTTTTAAATTGAGCTGCTGAGGAACGAGTTCTATTTGCATGGGCTACTGCTGACTTGCTTTGTCTGGTAGTAGAGAACATCCAGTTCTGGACAAAAATATAAGACTACATGGATCAAAACCCATTTATATTTTTTTGCCTGAACAAGGTTATGAAGCTAAGCATAATTATTAGAGCTATATTGGGTAATACATGTTTAGAAAGATAGATGCTAAATTTTACACAATATGCTTTTAATGAAGTTAAATGAATAAAATTGCTTGATTTCATATTCTTCATTGAAATACTTGAGGAAGCAGTTGTAGGAACATAAAAGGCAATTTGGGTAATTGTGTTTGGCCACATGCTGTAAGAGGGAGAAACTCTGTGCTGTGATTTCAGCCAGAGGCCATCTAGAGGGGGAAAAGGCCCAAAGGTGTTATAGTGATGAAAATTAACATCTTGGTTTTCTGTGGCTGAAAAGGCAAAGGTGCAGGATGAGGTTCCATCAAAGACTTAGCCTGAGTCCTGTGTTTTAAGTGCCTCCAGGAAAATAGTGCAGATCTGTATTTCTTTGTCTTATATTTTCATCTTACCTGCAACTGGAATACCTTGATTTAACTTGTCAGCTTTTTTAGAGGTTCAGGAATCTTTGCTGTTTGTACTTGAAATTTTACAATAGGCGTTCTTTCTATATTCAGCATGCTTACCCAGGAATTCATTAACTCTTCAGTACAGCCCGGGGGAATATTAGTTTCATATTGCTATAAATTTAATACAAAATAAATGATGCGTTCAGCATAGAATGCTTTATCAGTCTTTTTTCTCTGCTTTTCATCATCATTCATCAGCATATCAGGTGAAAATTTAAAAATGTTTTGTAACTGAGAATAGTTTAAACATTGACTGTGTTTGAAAGCTGGAAAATTACCTAGGAGGGCATTACAGTAAACATTTTGTTTGTATGATCAACAGTGAAATAACTTGGGCTTTAGGGGTAGTGTCAGTGTGCTGTTAACAGGATGGTTTTGCCTTTGGTGTTGAGCTGTCTAAATGCTTAAAATTTGACAGCAGCAGTAAATCTCTTCCACAGGTTCAGAGGCTCCTAAAGGAAGTAATCAATATCAGAAATATAATCAAATGTTGGCATTTAGTCAAGGAATCTATTTTAATATGGTGGTTAAGACAAGCCTCTGGAATTCTTGGGCAGATCAGTGGTAGCTGGCAAGTGGATTCCTTTACAGGATCAATGAAGAAATGACAGACCTGGATCAAGGTTTGCTACAGTGGTTTAGATACAGACACAAATCACAGAATCACAGAATGCCCTCAGTTGGAAGGTACCCACAACTGAGTCCAACTCAATTGGACACCCCCAGGAATCCCACCATGTGCATGGGAGCCTTGTCCAAATATCCATAAGGCACTGCAGAAATAAGATCTGAGTCAGTGGTTATAAGCCTTAGGTTCTCTGCAATTGTTTTGGATAGGGAAAACAGTTCAAAGGAGAAGATGGCAATAAGAGTGGATAAAAAATTAAGATGTTAACATCAGCAAGCTCAAGAGAAGGAATCAGGGTTTGTGGTCCTCTTCCTCTGGTCCAGTGGAAGATGTCTCTGCCCTGGCAGGGGCTTGGGGGGTGATCTTTAAGGTCCCTTCCAGCCCAAAGCTCTATTATGAAAAAGAGACCGTGTTTGTGTGTGAGTACATTTGGAAACTTGAGAAATGACAAAATCCCTCAGTACTGAAGGAATCAATACTGAGCTCAATACTCAGTGCAGAGCTGAGACAAGAAGGATGGAGCAAGGAAGCAGGGAGATGTGAGCTCTGCACCCAGCTGAGCTCAGGAGACTCACCATTATCAGGCTGGGATAAATGGTGTTTGGAAGAAGCAGGGTTATTTCAGGTACCAGATGAGTTTTATGGCAGCCACTACATTATTGGCTTTTAACAAGCAAACCAGGTATTTATCTGTGCAAATTGTACAGATTCTTGTTTTTTTAAAAATCCTCATTATGCTACAGAATTTCTAAATATACAGAATATAATGTGACAGCTTTGTATTTTAAGGCTTAACTTGCGTCTATACACGTTTTCCATTTCTCTCAATTTATAATACATAGCTGTGGATCAGTTTGCATCACAGGATTTTTGTGGGTTTGTTTTTTTATTTGCCTATCTTGAACCTATGTTTAACTAAAAAAATATGGCTTCACTTCTGAATCCCTATTCCATTCATCTCAGGCTTAATTTAAATGGACTTTTGATAATTAATTACAGCAATTAACTTTGAGGTCTTCAAACCTGGCTGATCATAAGGGGAAAAGCAGTGCTCTGTGAATACTTCCTAGAAATGTACTCATTGATGGGTTTGCCTGAGGAGTGTTGACACAATGTGCATAAATTCCATTGTCTGACATTTTGTGTTTGGAAGGGAAGCAGCAGCTCTCAGTCAGGCTCAGCTCAAGTTCAGATTGCACAGTACACTTCTGTACCCACTGGCACTCCAAGTGACGAGGCTGCTTCTGTGTTTGTCTTGGCAAAGACAGGAATTGCTCATCACAAATACAAATGAAAACAGCTATGTCAGATTTTTAAATTCTTGTGTATGACTTTAAAAAAATTATAGAAAATCTGTAGTTATCGGCAAGTAATACCTCTCAGAGAGAAGGCTTTTTCCTGTAATGTTCTTTGTTCTGAAATGTCACTAAATTGGGCTCATATTTAAATTTTCTGGACCAGACTTGCCTCTGCCATGTTCTTGCTTTCTGCAGGACAGTATGACAGTATGACAATTTTGTGTGCTTGGCTGCCTGGTGAAGGTATTCATTGACAGTATGACAATTTTGTGTGCTTGGCTGCCTGGTGAAGGTAATCATTGACTTACAAGAACTAAATAGAAATCCACTCCGGCCTTTTAAAATGAGGCCCCATATGAGGAGGTTAAATCCAGAGCTCCATTTAGTTGAAAGACAGTTTAAACCAAAAGTCGTTTCTGTGCTTCTGCTCTTATTTGAAAATGCATGATTCTGATTACTGAGTAGTATTGAGGTTTTTTTGTAATGTCTGCATATTTCAGCCTAGGGGAATGGAGAGGAGGAGATTAATTTTTATAGAGATGTTTGGATGAAAAATTGTGCAAGAAACTACTTTGCTTTACCAATTAGCTACTTTCATATCATCTTCTAATCCCAAGACTTGTTACTGCTGTCCAGCAAGTAATCCTTCTGAAACAGCTGGACAAGTCTACTGCTCTGTCAGTCCTAATGGTGTTTAACTTCCCACCCTCATCACTGCACATCTTTAATTAATGTGAATAAATGCACCAAAATTACCAAAAGGAATCACAGTAAATGATAGATGCTTTTACTTTCTCACACAAACCCTATTTCTTTTGAAAGCAAGTAAAACCCAGATCTGCACAAAGAATGATTTAAAGTTTCTCTAAGTGTTTGATGCAGTATATCATGTGCATGCCACCGTTTTTCCTTTATATAGAAGCAAACTGGTGAGGAGGATAACAGTGATCTTTAAAACACAGTAGATAAAGAACATAGGCTTCTTGTTTTACCCCTCTGTTGTATTAAGATGTTGTGAAGAGCCCTCTTAAATTTGTTGAAGATTAAAGTTGAAACTCGGCTTATTATAACAACTAACTAAAAATACAGTGTATTTACTGTAGTATAAAAAAGATGAACTGGGAAATTGTCTAGGGATTGAAAGGATAGAAAGCTCTACAAAGGAAGTAGTAGTAGTCTACTTTTTCTGGTGCTGTTTGCCAGGCAAACATCTAAAAGTGTATTATAATAAATAGCATACTGTTAAATGAATCTGTCGGCTGGTGCTTTCAAAACTCTTCTGGTTTCTATTAAAAAATATTAAAATTTATTTTGAAAGCTTAGCTGTATTAGGTGATCTTAGTAAAACAGTGTGTGATATGTTGTTTATTTGTTTTTATAGTAAATAACTTTGCATTAATGACTTACATTCCTTCTCCTTTGCTTAGCTGTAGCATAACATTTATTTCACCTTAACTTTTTTGGTGCAACTTTCTCCTGTGGCAAAAATTAGACACAAAAATTGGATAAAAATTGGCTGAGAGAATTAGTTATGAGATAGATCTGCTGGGTTTTTTTTTTTTTTTCTGGAGTAGAGGACTTGTTGCTGGAGTCTCCAGGATCAACTACTAAAACACTGGAAAACATTACTTAAAACCAAATTCAGGTTACTTTCTGGCAGCAGTGTAGTATGGTTCCGGGATCAGTTTAATTTTTAGGATCATATAAATTGCTGTAACAATTTCACTCCTTGCATTCTGCTAAAATATGTACCTGCTTCTTCTTGAGAATAACATTCCCTTTGGACTGTATTCAGGACCTCAAAGCTAGTAATGACAAGGAATGACAGAAGAAAAAGAACTGAGATGTGACTGTCTGGTCATAGCTGGAATTGTGGGTATCTGCAAACTGAACAGCTAAACAGGAAAAAATTGACATCATGGTCTTTTCACAGATTAATAAAAAAATAAGTTCCTCGAATTAAACATTCACAAAACAAATTACATAATTTGGCTTTTTTTTTTTTTTTTCCCCTCTGTTATTTTAGGAAATCTCCAGCTGTAAACCTTAGTGCTACCATATGGGATAGGTGCTCCAATAATTGATCTCAAATCATCTTTTGCCTTAGTAGGAACTTTTTAAAAGCTGTCTAACTCTTTAAGTCTCGTCATAGAGAAATACTGACAAGAAATACATTGGTCAACATCTTACAAAAAACTAAATCATACTGAGAGACACATCAGATCCTTAATGGCTTTTTAAGTTAAAAACTTCTGGCATAGATTTTTTTTAAAAATTTTTTTGATCTTATGAAAAACCAAATCACACTGAGAGACACATTAGATCCTTAATGGCTTTTTAAAATTTAAAAACTTCTGTTCTGGCATAGATTCTTTTCTTCACTTCAGAATTTTGCTACCTCAGTATGGGTGGAGAATGAAAATAAAACAGCATGTGAATTTTGCCAGCAGCTGAAGTTTGTTCTACAGAGGGGGAATAAAACCTGGCATCTCTTGACATTCCACTGTCTTGCATGCTATTCTTGTCATAAGCCAGGATGGAAAAAATTCACGTCTGTAATTTTACAGTTGGGATTATGCTGATGTCTGTGTCAAACTGATGGAGAATGCGGTGGAGTGGCTAATGATGATTCTTGGGAGGCCTTGCAGTGTGTGGGGAGGGGCTCTGAGTGCTGCTCTCTGCATTCCCAGGCGATCCGCTGTGGCCCGCATCCAGGAGCTCTTCAGGAGGAGGAAGGAGAGGAAGGAGATGGAGGAGCTGGAGACGCTGAACATCAGGCGCCCCTTGATCAAGATGGTTTATAAAGGTCACCGCAACTCCCGCACCATGGTACAGCCGCTGGGGCTGGGGCTTCACGGGCTCACTCAGGGCAGCTGCCCCTGCTGGGCTTGCCAGAAAGGACCTTGGGGTGCACTGTAAGCACTTGGGCTTCTGTGTTCACTTGGAAGGTGCAGAATCTGCTCAAAATGAACGTTAAAGTTAGCGTGACTCGTGTCACTGTGAAAGGCATTTAAATACCCCTGAGTTTAAGACTTTCTCCCCTTAACATCCAGTAAAATTTGGGGTGTTTTTTTCCTTTTTCATTTTCTCTCTCGGCTTATGTGGCATACAATGTGCCTACCTTCCAAATTATGATTTAATCCTCACTTTCCCTTCCAAGCTGTTCAAAATTATTATTTAATCTTTAACTTTGAAGAGATTGGAAGGGAAAGTGAGGATTAAATCAGAATTTTGAAAAACCTTGAAATCTCTGAATTAAAAAAGGAATGAGTGCTAGTTACTAAATTGTAATTTAGCTACTTGATGCCTTGTCTTTTTCACAAAAAATCCTGTATTTTAAGAAAACACAGTTACTGTGCTTGTAAAGCAATGGTGCATGAAAAACAGATGCTCCTTTCCTTGCTATTTCTTCTTTTTGGTTTTTGCAATATTTTGAAGATGTGAAGTTCTGAGTTCTAGGTGGTATTTTGCAGAAGTAGCTGGTGTGTTATTTTGCTGCTGATGTGAGGAGTAGTCCCTTTACCCTCAAAATGCCATTTCTAGGGTTTGTGTGAATAGCTTTGATTACACTGGGAAAAATGCTTGAGTAAATACATATTTCAGTCTACATAATCAACAGGGTATAGAATAAACTTTGATTAATGACAAGGAGTTTTGCATGGTATTTCAGAAATCAGTTTAAATTGTTCAAACTCCCATTAGTTTAAAGGTCTTGGCATCAGGCACTTTGTAGTTAAAAGATACTAAAAGTGAGTTAGATCATCTAAGTCTTAATTCAGTCTCTGTCTGCATAGCTGTTATTATATAGATTATTAAACAGATTTTGTTGTTTGGTTTCTTGGGGATGTAGGTTGAACTTTTTGCTTTTGTTTCACACAAGCACCTACGGCAAGCAATTCACAGAATGAAAGAAAATGTAAATTTATTTTCCCCATTGGTCTCTATGGTTGCGAACTTCATTTTGATCTGCTGGATTGAGTAATATCCTCATTCCTGCAAGGCAAGGGCTATTTCCCTTTCAAATTTATGAAGGAGACAGCTTTAAAAAGCTTTGTTTCCTACACACCTGAGCAGCCCAGGGATAAAGTTGTATTGTCAATTACATTAACCATTTATATATATATGTATATAATTTTTGCAGATACATACATATATATGGGGATGTGTATATGTATATATAGTGAATTAAGGTTATGTAGGCAAATGGAATAATTCTGATTCTTCCTTACTTTTGAACAATTAATTTGGCAGACTTACTTTTTTTATAGTCCTGCTTTTAAAACAGTGATTTTTAGAAATATCTGAAAACCAAAATTTTAAAATGTGAATTTCAGTTCTGTTCATTTTTGTGGTGCTAAAATTAGATTTTATAACTATTAAGAAGCATGAGTAAGAGAATACAAAGGACACAGGAAGAGGTCATGATTGAAAATTAAAATATGAAATTAAATGTTTTATTATTAGAGATAATCTAGATGTAACAGTATAATGAAAGCATGTATTAAAAGGAGCAATAAGACAAAAGCTGAAAGATTAATACATTGGAATCTATGACAGGAATGCAGCTTCTCTGGCTTATTTTTAGATATCAGGATGACTTTATTGCACTTACTGCAGTCATTGGGACATATTCTATAGACAAAGATCTACCAAGCCTGAAATTTAAAACTGAGCATATTTATGCTGAAAAGAAACCACGTATTTCTAAGCATAAGAGTTCAACTTACCAATGAATCTGTGTCAAGGTAGCTGAGGTAAAGCACGGAGCAAGGCAACATCTCTGCCCTTCTCTTCAGGGTATTTTCTGAGGGAAGTCTGCCAAAAAAAAAGATAAGGATCCAGGTATGGCCTTCTTTAGAGCCTTACCTGGAAAATAATTCTTAGCAGGATTCTGTGTAAATAGTGTCAAACTCAAAATTCTGTCCCTTATGCTGGAGTTACTTCTAAATGCCAAACTGAACTTCCAGCATTAGAAATTGTCTGTGTGAATTCCACAAGCTGCTGCACAGGAAGCTCCTGCTTGCACAGGTACCTCTTTTGCCCCTTGTATGTCCATTAAAAGGGTTTGTAAGAGGTACTGCTAGCTCTCAAAATAACAATTCTACACACAAAGCTACACTGCAGCCTTCCAGGCTTGTTCCTGCAGCACAAACACCAGAGTCACAAACAGTCTCGTGACTGTCATTGAAGCAATGCCCCTTCCACCTCTGCATCACATCAAACCTCTCACCTGTAGAGGACATGAAGTAGCACATTTATATCATTTAACAATGGTTATTTTGAGGTCCTATGCTGAGTAAAATCAGAAGTGATTTCTGAGGAAGGTTTCACAAGCTTCTGTCTTGTCTCCTGTTTCTCTGTAATGGAAAATCCCCCCCCCAGGAATGAGCCTGTCACAAACTTTAACTTGGCCAAAGTTTTCCTAAAAACTCCTTTGCTTACTCCTCCAGTATCATTTCTGTAACTTCAGAAAGTGACAGATCTACTGACATTTGTTTTCATACTGTTCAGTCTGCCCCAGCTTGTCTCTCATTTTTTTTGATTTTTTTTTCTGTTAGCAGCTACTTTGCTCTGGAAGTCTAAAACCTTCTGAACTTTCATTTTTTAATCACTCTTCTTTAAATGCTTGCTTTAAAATTTCTTAAATCTCATTTCTGCATGGGCTGAGCTTTCCTTCAGCAGCACTGTTAGTGCAGACACAGGAGTGTGCTCAGGATGGACTTTTCAATGGCTAAGTCTTACAAACTTTTGTTTTTCTTGCAGATAAAGGAAGCCAACTTTTGGGGATCCAACTTTGTCATGAGTGGCTCAGACTGTGGCCACATTTTCATCTGGGACCGCCACACTGCTGAGCACCTCATGCTGCTGGAGGCTGACAACCATGTGGTGAACTGCCTGCAGCCTCACCCCTTCGACCCCAGTAAGAGCAGCATTCTCCCACTCTGCATGTCCAGCTTCTCTGCACTAGAACATTTTAAAGCTCAGTCTTAAACTCTGTCTCAACAGAGCAATGCAGTGATTAATGAACTGTTGTTCATGGCTCCCTGTATAATTCAGATAATACTGTTTTTAATTTTGCCTCTTACTGATGATCTTTGGGCCTTAAATCTCTCCTTACTCAAAAATTTATTGAAATCAAACTTCGATTGGCACAGACTTTATAGAAATACTGTCAGATGTAATAAGAAGAATCTCAAGTTTTTGCTGCCCTCAACACATAAAATATTTTCTATGACACTAATGAGGGAAATATGGGGTTGCTGAAATGCCAGCAATACTTGGAAATTATATTGGAATCTGGTCTCTATCTGGCTCTATTCAAAAATGCAGTGGAAGTGGATGTCTCCCTCTCATTGTGAGATTAGAATGATTAATAAATTAATAGAAATAATAATAATTTGTGTTTAGAGGAAATCCTTCATAGAAAAGATGGACCAAAGCAGTAGAAGGAATCACATGTTACTGCAAAATCTGAACCATCCTCCAGCCTCTGGCACCTTCAGAGAAAGTATTTGTGTTACTGTTTTTTTCACAGCTTACCTGGCTATATAATAAGAGTCATCTGTTAGTAAATTAGCAAGTAAAGTTATTATAATAATACTAGAAGAGGCTGGGGGTTTTTCAAACAGTTTGGGGAGAACATGGAATACTGTTCTACATAGGGTAAGCCTCAAACTTTTAACTTTTTTATTGAAATTGAGTTCTTGTAAATGTCCTGAGTTGGATACTCCCTTTGGAAGCACCTTTCAAAGTGCCCTGTAGCTTTGCTGATGTCTTGTCGGAGTGTGACTGTCTCCCTATCACACTCTTAAGATGTCATTAAGAGAGCTTATCCTCCTTCTAGGACAATTAATCTTGTTCAGCTTCCTAGGTGCTGAGAGCTTTCTATGGAATGTAAATTCCTACAGTGGTTTTTGTGCAATGGTCTAGAGAATGTTCTGCAACTTTTCATATTTTTCTTACTTTATTTATAACAGCATCCATTGCATCTTTATATTTAAATAGCAAATAAATTTACATGAAATTTACTGAAATTATCAAAAGTACATTTGAAATTATCTTGGTTCTGCCTTATGTACCTGGGTCTACAAATCCTAAAGCTTTGTTATTAATGCATATACTTATCAGCAGAAATGGATCAGTAGTGGCTGGGTTTGCTCTTATTTTTTGCGTCTATCTTCTGTATATTTTGGTGATCTTTTAAAATTTAATACAGGGGACTCTTGATGTTTGCTCTTGTTTTCTTTGTATCTATGTAGATAGATGCAAACACAAATAATCTGTGGAGCAGATCTCATGTGGAGACTTGGTAATTACAAGCTCTGTTCGGCATGAGATCTGACATTTGCAAATAAATGCTTCAAGTGAAATATTTTTCTTCCATTTAAGAGCAGAAAATACCAATAAACATAAGACATTTAATTTAGAATTACTGTTACTTACTTCTAGTTCTGGCCTCTTCGGGTATCGATTATGATATAAAAATTTGGTCACCTCTGGAAGAATCCAAGATTTTTAACAGAAAACTTGCAGATGAGGTAAGAACCTTTCCTCCTTTTTCATGGTAACGTTGTGTCTTTAATTCTATAAAAGCCTTTGGTACAAATTACTGATATTGAATTAGCAGAGTTATTTAATGTTCAACAAATGAGGTACAAATAAAAAGCTACCCTTCAGAACAGCTGACTTTCATATCCTTGGCACTTTGCATTTCCTCAGCTCTCCTAGAAATTACATAACATGATCTGCTATTATGTGTATAAAAGGAGTTGGAAGAAATGTGAACACTCAGATATAGAAGTAAAACTGGCAGGAATTAATAAATGAACATAGTGCCTGTCTCTAAACAAATAATTGAAGGGAAGATGAAGGAAATAAACTGAAGGAAATGCAAGGTTATACAGAACAACAAGAGTACAAAAAATCAATCCTATTAAATATTTAGTGGCATAAAAGGGACTTAAAGGTTAAGATTGCACATGGGAACTTCATGGAATAAAACAAACATTGCAAGCCCAATCAGTTATAAAAGTCCAGTGTGAAGTTATGTAAGTCAGTATTTTCATGTTGCCCTCAGAGCAATAACTGGATATAGCAAGTGGCCTGGGGTGAGCATACAGCTGACTGCTGAATAATCATGTTTGAGTGATTTACATAACACAATGTATCAATGTTATATGGCATTCTGTAAATAATATAGGACAGATTTCATTATAGGGTGGTCAGGTTGGGGGCATTTTTTGCGAAATCTGTTGGGTAGCACAGATAGAGTAGATTGGGGGTTTTTAATCATTATTTCTTTGTAGTAGTGCTAAATATATTTCAAATAAACAGAAACACACAACCCTTAGCCACCACCCCACATCCCTTGAAAAAACCCCAAACCATCCACTTGTGAGTTTTGAACCTTTCCCATTATTTTAGCACTGAGTAAAGTGACAATTCCTTGCATATTGTGTGACAGCTTTAGTCGTGACATGTTTTGGAGCCTTTGGGGTTTAGAAGTATTGCTAAACATAAATGTGTACTCAAAGTAATGATTGTACTTTAGTTCCCTCCCTTTATTTCTAATAATGACAAATTATTTAGATATTTAGTTGTGCTTTCTTTAAGAAAAAATGTAGAACTTTCAGAAGAATTGACTGCAGTGCTGTTTGTAATTTTACGTGGTTTTTTGTTTTGTTTTGGTTTGGTTTTTTTTAAATTTATTCCTTGTATTGACATACCTATGTAGGGGACAGGAGAAGTTTATAGTAATAAAATAGTTCTCATCATGTTAAGTTTGGCTGGAATAAGCGTCCAACATACCTGAACTGAATTTTCTATGGAAGGGAGAAGGTCTGGGGAGAAAACACAGTGTTTGAGGAAAGTTCCATATAGATACAGAAATGTATTTAAAATTGAGAGAGGCCATGACCTTAGTGAATAGGAAAAGACAGTGGGGATGAGAATAAACTTCTGAATGGGGAAAAATCCTCAGCACCAGGTTTTCAGGGGGTTATTGATGATGCACTGGAGAGATATGGGGTGAAAGAGAAATAAAGAGCAGCCTGCTGTCTCCTCAGTTTGCTTCTGTTAGGGAGGGATCAGCTGTGCCAAGTGCCTGGCAAACAGGTGAGAATGACAGAAAAGAGGTGCTTTGATTGGGAAGGGAGAAGAAACTGCAAACATTTGCAGGAACGTGTTCCTCACAAGAGGAACAGGCTTGAAGAGTCTCAGACAGAACAAGAATTTCATTATTTTCCTGTCTTACAGCAGCTGATCTAGGAGCAAAGACTGAAAAATGGTCATAACTTGTCTCCACCAAAAGAAATTTTGTGCTTCATGATAATAAAAGAATATAGTCTAAAAGCTGAGACAACCTACAGTGTGGGATTGAAATTTATGGAGGAAGAAAGAAAGATGGCAAGGAAGTACCATAAAGAAGGAATGAGGAAAGGGAGAAAGTAGTATTCATTAGTGGATTTTTTTTTTCCTTGAAAATTAGACAGTAGGAACTGGCTCTTTCAAGTCCTTTTTGAGGCAAGCTGTAGCTCTGTTTACAAAGAATTATGGAGCTAAAGAATGTTCCTGAAGTGGGATAGAAAATGGCTTGTGTTCCTTGGATTTTCTCCAAAAGTTTCTAGCAGCATGAAGGTAGGAGTTGAGGGTAACCTTATCTCTTTTCCTTCCCACATTCTTGGCCAGCACTGGTGCTAGAACTTTGTTCTCTACAACAGTTGCCATCTGGAAACAGCACTTTCTATCATCAATCTGCTTTACTTCATGAAAGATTTCCAAAGTTTTTCTTAGTCACTCATCTTAGTATCTGCCAT